ATGTTTACGGCCGACGATCATGCGGGTCATCCTCCACACATGCTCTGCCCTCTCTGAAGCACTTACACCACTCAAACACACAGGTCTGTGAGAGACACTCTTCCCCATACTGTTGTTGGAGCCTGTGGTGAATTTCAATGGACAGGACATTTTCTCCGAGGAATTTGATCACAATGTGTTGTTCCACGCTCTGCGGTACCTTCTGTTCACTCATCCCTCTAGCAACTTCCAGACAGGACTGAACAGGTTCTAACCCTAACAGGAGGGAGGGTGGAGGTTGTGGCTTCACTCTCTCAAGGTCGCACAGCTACTGCGCAGTGCGGCTTGTTTACAAAAAAATCAGTCCCGGTCATATTTGAACCACCTAGTATTTGCTCCATGCTTATAACTCATAACTACAAATGATTCTAACAGCCCCACTTATTTACGCACACTATAGACCACTAACTACAGCATGCATAAAGTCTTCTGTTTGTTCACTAGTCAACTCAAGACTACTACCTGCCAACTCTGACCTCTGACACACTGACTTTTTCTGTTGGTCCTCACTTTATAGCCTCAGCATGGACCATGTAGAAAACACTGCTTCCTATAGTTCCTCTGTTGCTGCATGTTGATTCATTGCTACAGAAATGTGTTCATCTCATCATTGCTTATCAGTGGCTACCTCTTCTTGTTAAACCACTCCAGCTTTCAGCTGTTGTGTCACAAATTAAATATATTCTATACAAAACTGAATGTCCATTACTTACTTATGGAGCTGAGCCCTTCTTGAGGAGAAGCCAAATCTGCAGCTATTCAAGAGTTTCCCAGCATTTTATGGAACCCAAAGGTACATTACCTTGTTCACAAGAGCCCTCCACTGGTCCCTATCCTGAGCCAGATGAATCCAATCCATACCATACCATCCTATCTCTCTTCTCAGTGGCCTCTTTCCTTCTGGCTTTCCCACCAATATCCTATATGCATTCCTCATCTCCCCCATTCATGCTACATGCTCTGCCCACCTCATTCTCCTCGACTTGATCATTCTAATTATAGTACTTGGAGAAGAGTACAGTTATGAAGCTCTTCATTATGCAGTTCTCTCCAACCTCCTGTAACTTCATCCCTCTTCAGTCAAAATATTCTCAACACCCTATTCTCAAATACCCTCAGTCTTTGTTCCTCCCTTAATGTCAGAGACCAAGTTTCACACCCATATAAAACCACAGGCAAAATTATAGTTTTGTATATTCTAATTTTTATGTTTTTGGACAGCAGACAAGAAGACTAAAGGTTCTGGAATGAGTGGTAGCAAGCATTACCCCAAGTTCAATCTCCTCTTAATTTCCTCCTGAATCAGGTTTTGATATGTTATTGTCATTCCCAAATATTTGAATTGTGCCACGTTTTCAAACATCTGTTTCCTATCCTTATGTCATGATTTTGCCCTGCATTTTGGTGATGAGACAGTAACATATACTTAGTTTTCTCTGTGTTTACTTCTAGACCAACCTCCTTACTTGTGTCAATTAAAGTTCTTGTGTTTTTCATTATGGTATCTATATTATCACCCAGTAGATTCACATCATTGGCATAGAACAGCTGATGTGTCCCTTTTAATTTAAGTCCCACCTGGTTTTCCTGGACCTTCCTAAGGATACCGACTTATGGAGCTGTGTAGTCTGATAGAAGGATACCGCTGTATGGAGCTGTGTAGTCTGGCAGAAGGATACTGACATATGGAGCTGTATAGTCTGGTAGAAGGATACTGACATATGGAGCTGTGTAGTCTGGCAGAAGGATACCAATGTATGGAGCTGTGTAGTCTGGCAGAATGATACAGACTTATCAAGCTGTGTAGTCTGATAGAAGGATACCGATGTATGGAGCTGTGTAGTCTGGCAGAAGGATACCGAAATATGGAGCTGTATAGTCTGGTAGAAGGATACCGACGTATGGAGCTGTGTAGTCTGATAGAAGGATACCAATGATTGGAGCTGTGTAGTCTGATAGAAGGATACTGACGTATGGAGCTGTATAGTCTGATAGAAGAATGCCAATGATTGGAGCTATGCAGTCTGATAGATGGATACCGACATATGGAGCTGTGTAGTCTAATAGAAGGATACCAATGTTTTGCTGGAGGCTGTACATTCCAGATGACCATAGTCTTAAGTAAAGAATTCAGCTGGAGATTAGACTGGACACTGTGGTTTAATGGTTAACATGCCATATTCTGGAGATTGGGTCCTGCCAGTCCTGGAAGAAGGGTATGTTATACCATGAGCAGGTAACCCTGCAGATGAA